TTCTAATTCCATACAAACTTTATTGACTTTTCTTGATCCTGAAAGAATATAGTGTGAATTTGTATGGGGGTATTGCATTGAATCTATATAATAGCTTAGGTAGGATAATTATTTTAGCAATATTTATTCTTCCAGTCCATAAGCATGAAGTATTTTTTCCATGATTATATTATTGCAGGTGATTTATGTGAAGTGGGGAGGAGAGAGGTGGCAGCCCTCTAGAAAGGAGTGTACAGCTTCCTCACTAGCTACCTTGTTACCTGTGGAAGTGCCTGGAAAAAAATAGGACTGATAAGACACCAACTCAGTAGAGACCTTATGTTTCATCAGCCCTGTGAGGTGGCCATCAGACCACACTTGGGTTCCACTTGTTCTTCCCAGTGTGGGAAATAGTCCCTGCTACCCAGTTTCTGGTGGAGCCATAAAAGGCAGATTAGAGTGAGAAATTGCTCTTGGAAGAAAGGAAAGTCAGTCCTAAATCTTAGCCAGGTTTTTCAGGTTCATCACCTTTCCCTTACAGAAAAGAATTTCAGGAGGAGACAAAAAGTGAAACTAAAGAATTTTATTTTGAGATTATGTGGAAGGAAAGAGAGAGACTGATGTTTGAGAGAGAGCATGGACTTCTCCAAAAGGGAGAGATGAGAGTACACATCTCAGGTGAAAATGCAGGTCACTCCACCAGAATGGAAAAGTTCCCCACTCACTTCTTCAGACTTGGTATTATATGTTTTTATCCAAACTTCCCTTTGGGTTTTCTACATAGATAAGAGTCCATTGCTATTCCCTGGTATAAAGATGGGTGTTCGGACATTGTAGACTGAAATTCAATCACAAATAACTTCATAAATTTATATCTCAGTGACTCAATTAAAATGTATTCCTTTAGGACCCTCCTTCACTACTGGTGGGAAAGCTGACTGCTTCAGCCCTTTTGTAAAACAGTATGGATGATCCTCAAAAAATTAGAAATTGAGCTCCCATTTGACCCAGCAATACCACTCCTGGGAATATATCCCAGAGAGGCAAAAATGTATAGTCGAAGTGACATCTGCACTTGTTTGTTCATTGCAGCACTCTTTACAATAGCCAGAATCTGGAAAAAACCTGAGTGCCCAAGAACAGATGACTGGTTAAAGAAACTTTGGTACATCCACACAATGGAGTACTATGTAGCTGTTAGAAAAGATGGAGTCATGAAACTTACATACAAGTGATACTACATGGAAAGTATCATGCTAAGCAAAATGAGTCAGAAAGAGAGGGATAGACATAGAAAGATTGCATTTATCTGGGGAACATAAAGTAACAAAATAGGAGACTAACACCCAAGAATGGCCGAGATTAGTACCAGGTGGTTTGCTCCATGGCTTGGAGGCCACCCGGACATTCTAGGGGAAAAGGGAGCTCAGATAGAGGAGGGAGCATCAAATAAAGAGTGTTGGGAGGATCCTCCCAGGATGGGAGAAGCATGCTGAAAGTAGACTATAGACCAAACATGATTGCCACTCAATGCCTCTTTTGCAAACCACAACACCCAAAGGGAGAGAGGGAACAAAAGGGAGTGCCCTGCCACAGAGGCAGAGTGGGATGGGGGTGGGGTGGGAGGAGGAGGGATACTGGGTCCCGTGGTGGTGGAAAATGGGCATTGGTGGAGGGATGGGTATTTGATCATTGTATAATTGATATCCAAGCACAAAAATTTGTAAGTCTACAACTGTACCTCATGGTGTTTCACTAATAAAAATTAAAAATAAATAAATAAAACATAACATGAGGCTGACACCTAAGGATAGTATATACACAGGACAGGTAGATTGCTCCATAGCTGGAAGCTTGCCGTATGAGCAGAGGGGAGAAGGCAGCTGGAATAGAGAAGAGATCACTAAGAAAAAGATGGCCAGAGGAATTAGTTGGGATGGGAGATGTGTGCAGAAAGTAGATAAAGGACCAAACATGATAACCTCTCAGGGTCTGTATTGCAAATCATAATGCCCAAAAGTAGAGAGAGAGAGAATGGGGAATAAAGTCTGCCATGGAGGCAGGGGGAGGGCGGGAAAGGGGGGGCGTATACCGAGGATAGTGGTGGTGGTGAATGTGCACTGGTGGAGGGATGGGTGTTTGATCATTGTTTGATTGTAACTCAAACATGAAACCTTGTAACTATCTCACGGGGATTCAATAAAATTTTAAAAAATGAAAAAAAATGTATTTCTTTATAATCAAGAGACTATTGCTATACTGTTGTAAGGGGAAGAGCTTGAAACTTCAGATGATTCTACTTCAAGTCCTTATCGCAACCTACTCTTCTTTCTCGAGCTTCTCTCTGGACAGGGTCCAGCCTTTTGATTGCCATGCTGGTGCCAGTTAGAGTGTTATCAGAGCTCAGTTCCTGTGTCCACAGAGTGAGCTTGTCCATAAAGCTTTTGACTACTTTGGAACTAGTGACAGTAACTTCTTCAAATCTCATCTTGAGTTTACTACTTGCCAAGAACTCATTGTCAGCCTCCTCACCCCAACTACTTTCCGACTTCAATAGGAAAACTTCCAGGGCTGGAGAGATAGCACAGCAGGTAGGGCGTTTGCCTTGCACACAGCCAACCCAGGTTCGATTCCCAGAATCGCATATGGTCCCCTGAGCACTGCCAGGGGTAATTCCTGAGTGCAGAGCTAGGAGTAACCCCTGTGCATCGCCAGGTGTGACCCAAAAAGCAAAAAAAAAAAAAGAAAAAAGAAAGAAAACTTCCCTGACCACTGGTAAGGGATAAAGTGAGAAACCCTTTCTCTCAAAGCTTTCCACCAATGAGACACTATATATATATTTATTTTCTTAACCATATCATTTAGTAGAGATTTAGACAAAAAATGGGTAGAAGTAAGATAATCTAGTTATCAACCACTTCAACCTGTCTGCCCTCCCCACCAAAAAAAAAAAAATCCCTCCAGACCAAACTATAAAATCTTGGAAGGAAAATTACAGTAACTATTACTTTTTCCAGTTATGGCATGTCTGTGTGCCTGGCCTGGGTTCACGGTGGGGCTGCATTTAGCCTCTCTCCAATGATAGCAAGCTCCTTTTATGCTACACAGGCTGCTCAGTGGCCCAGAAATTGGGACTTCTGTTTGGGTCTCTTCTACCAGGGTAGCTCAAACTCCTGTACCTGATGACTCAGAACTCTAAAATGGTAAATAGATGATGCAAGGCATTTATTTTGAGGTACTAACCAAGAGTTCCAAAATGCTACTTGCACGGCTTTCCGTGTCCATGACTCTCAAGCCTCACCTAATGATGGTATCAGAATTGATATTCTGAATCTTTTATTCTGCATCAAGTTCTGATATAGGAAGGGCTCCTTTTGTGGTGTTGCTTCCTGGGGGCTAGCTAAGTGATTATGAGATGTAGAAATAAAAAGACACGATTGTATCTGCCTCCATCACACCAATAAGCACCATGACAGTAGATCATGAAGTGGCAGAGAAAGGATAGCAACAGAATATAGATATTCCCAGACAGAAACAAAACTGATCTGTAGAACTCTGAAATCCATCCAAACCATATTGTTAGTTCCATGGGGTTTCCCTTAACTCAAGTTCAATTCTGTTTCCCTGAAGGTATTTCCTCATTTCTGAATGTCTGTAGCACTTCTCTGTTCTTCATACTCTGTTCTTTGAACTCTCAGCTCTATACTGAGAATTTTTCCCTTTCTGTAAGAAGTGACCTAAGTTTTTAACTAAGAAGCTTTACATACAACCTGCTTCCTTATTATAGGAAGTGAGGATGAGAAAAATTTTCCCTCTGAATTGTCACTATTCTTTTATTAAAAATGGATACAGCTCTGTTACAAACATTTTGAGTTTCTTTATAAAATATTATTGTCCACTTCATTTGATAAATACCACATTTCTTCTGAAGCAGGCCAATCTCCATTTTTATCTGAGTCATGCCTCTGTGCTTTCCTCTGAAACCCTTTTGTAATGATGAACGCTTCTGTGATACATTCTCTTAAATCTTCCCAACTTCTTCATAGAGACTGATGGCTACACTCTGATTTAATTTGTACTCAGGCCATTAATTTTTTTCCCTTCCTTCCTCCTCCTTCCCCTCCTTTTCCTCCTCCTCTTCCAACCCTCTCATTCCTGTTTCTTTCCTTCCTCCTCCCTCTCCTCCTCCTCCTCCTCCTCCTCCTCTTCCTACTCCTCCTCTTCCTCTTCCTCCTTCTCTTTTTCCTCCTCTTTCTCCTGCATTGGAACCCCGGTTTCACACATTCAAGACAAGTCCTCTACTGCAGAGCTACATCCCAGACCAAAGGCCATTTCTTGCTTTGAAAATCTTTTGCTTGCTGGAGAAACAGTATTGGCCCCTCTGTATTTTCTCTAATTTACTCTTGAAAACTGAAATAGCTTCTAATTTAAACTCTCTTCATAAACTTTAAGAAGTCAAATGGAACTTTATATTCTGCCTAGAACTCTCTTTAACAAGATCCACAAAAACATTAATGTAGTAATGTAGTGGTTAAGTTTATGTTAATTTTGGTACACAAAGGGATGCCCAGAATAGATTTCTTCCCTTCCCTGCCCCCTCCTCCTCTTCTTTCTCTCTCTCTCTTTTTTTCTTTTTGGGCCACATCACATCTTGGTGCTCAGAATACTAAGGGTATTCCTGGCTCTGAGTTCAGGGATCACTCCTAAAGGGCTCCAGGGACCTGGTTTTGAGCCTTGCTCAGCTGTGTACAAGGCAAAAGGTCTGTACTAAAGCTCCAGCCCTTCTTGGAAGCTTTTAGGAATGAGAATGGCTTGGGGTGTGGGGTACATTAGGGATGGAGTGCGCTGGGTGGGGGATTTGGGAAGTCAGAACTGGAACGGCCAGTGGAGGTCATAGTGTGTGTGTGTGTGTGTGTGTGTGTGTGTGTGTGTGTGTGTGTGATTGGGAAGGCCAGCAGCACAGGCCCAGCTAGTAGGGGCAAGCTTTATTGCCCTCCACCCCCCACCGTCCCTGCCCCCCATCAGTAGCACTTGCGATACACTATATGCGGGCCCTGCTCTTCGTACTGTTCCTTCAGCACCCAGCAAGATTGGAAGGCGCGCAGCGAGGCCAGGATGGAGCCCCCGATCCACACAGCCAAGTGGCGGCTGGTCCCTGCCACCACGTGTGTGTCAGAGGCGGCGCCTGCACGCTGGAGCTCAGCCTGGAATCGGCTATGGAACCCGGGGAAGAGGCTGGAGCCTCCGCAGAGCAGCACATTGCGCGCTACCTCGGGGCGCGCCTCTGGTGGCACCTTCTGCAGTGCCTGCTGTGTCATAGCGGGTAAACCCACAGGGGCCAGGCCTGGGATCTCGGGGGGCCGGAACAGCAGCTCTGGGCACTGGTAAAGCTCCTGGTTCAGCGTGACACTGCGACCATCAGGCAGCTTGAAAGTTTGGCAACAGTCTTGCACCGGCCGGGCCTGAGCTTTTTGGAAATCATCAACCACGTAGCAATAGTGGTGCTTGATGTGTTCCACTGTGTCCAGGTGCCGCTGGCTGAATGGCAAACCGGAGCCCAGAAGCATCTTGTCAGCCAGAAAGGCGGTCAGGTGGGTGCCAGCTAGGTCCAGGCGCTGGGTGGCGTGCACCAGATTGTAACCCTGGAAGACCGGCACTGTGTAAGTGACGCCGTGTCCCGAGTCCACCACCAGCCCGCTGATCCGCCCGTGTGCGTACACCGCCAGCACCGACTGCGACTCTACGTACATGGCAGGTGAGCACAACGCCTCAAAGGCTACTTCCACCAGCTTCTCTCGATTGGTGGCGGGGCTGAAGGGTGGATCGGAGAAGAGCAGCGGGTGGTCGCGTGGGGCCACGCGGAGGTCGTGCTCCAGCAGATGCCGCCAGATGAGCTCAGCCGCCTCCCAGTCCACCACGATGCCGTTGCGCAAAGGTTGCACCAGCGCCAGCTCAGGCCGAGAGCGAGCTGCGTTGCCAATGAACGTCTCCAGAACCGGTGGCCCCGCAGTAGCCAACTTCTTGGGCTGGCAGCCTACTAACGTTTCCACTGTGTACATGGGTCGGGCCTGGCCCGCAAAACCCACCTTACAGGTTCCAGTGCCCATGTCAATGACCACAGCCCCCGTCTGGCTCAGTGTCTCACAACTGACCACGCTGGACGTCTCCCGTGGCAGGGTCTTGTTCACTAGGATGGAGTGAGGGATCACACTTGCCTTGGGCGTCTCTGAGCATGGCTGGGATACTGGGAACTTGGAGAGATGGGTATCCATGGAGGACGGACCGGGTGTACCACCCGGGAGCAGGGTGTGGGTTGAAGCGATGGGGGGGGTGTTTAGCCCCGCTGGCCAGCGCGGAGCAGAGTGGGGAGGAGCTGCGCGGGGGAGGGGTCTGTGACATCAAACACGGTCCTCGAAAAACTTCACAATGTGGGCGTGAGCAGGGTGGGGCAGGCGTCCAGGCTACTCAGCTATTAGCATCTCCCCTCACTACACCCCACCCCAAGCCCCGGAGTTGGAGGTGGAGGTAGATAGATCTCAGATGGAGCTCACTAACCCAACCCAAGAATTCACTGCCTCCACCCCCTCTTTCTTGTCCTCTTGTCTGATGTCATCCTGGTTCAGCTGGGGACTGAACCTCTTCACCTGAAACCCTTATCTCTCGTAGTTATTTTTTTATTTGGGGTTTGGGGGTCACCCCTGGCAATACTCCCGATTTATTCCTGGTTCTAAGCTCAAGGATCACTTCGGAGACAATAACCCGGACCAAACCCAGGTGGGCAGCAAGCAAGGTAAGTTCCTTACCCGCTGTACTATTTCTCTGCCTGAAATCCTCCTCTTAGGAGCTGTGTCTTGTAGTTGTTTATAGGGAGGCTGAGCTCAGACTTTTTTCCATTGGCCAGGTCAAGCAAGGCAAGCACCTTACCCACTGTACTTTCTCTCTAGCCCCCGGGAAAATGTTTCTGAACCTCTGAGAATGAATTTAAAATCAACCACATGACAAATCCACAGCTGTTTAGGCAGCACTAATGCTTGTGGCATTTCTTGGGCAAAAAGGGGGTCGTGAGTAGAAAACAAACAAAACCCAACAAACAATCCAAAACTGTAAGAAGGCCTGTGTGGAAGAGAGCAGCATGGAGGATGGGAATGATCATCATATAGAGGCCATGTCCAGCCTGCCCCCATCCGTCATCATAGGTTTTGAAAATGGTGTAGATGATCTTTTCCTGACAATGAAGCAAATGGTAAGCTGGGAGAGTCAGGCCCCGACATGCAGGCAGAAGGCTGTATAAGTCTACCGCCCCCCATCCTCCAAAGTCCTGGACAGGTGTGAAAGGAAGCCAGGGTTTGTCTTGCAGATTCTCTCAAGTAGCAATGCAGGCCTGGACCCTGGGAGATCCTACTCTCTCCTGGTTTTTGTCACAGATTCCTGCAGCCTTGGGCTCTCAGTGTAAATAGAAGTCAACAGAAGGCCCAGGTGCCACCTCCTCATCTTCGCCCTCATCCTCCTCTTCCTTTTTTCTTCTTTTCTTCTCCTTTTCCACCTTCTCCTTTTCTTCACTTTTCCCTCCTCCTTCTCCCTCTTTTGCTTGTCAGGTATTGAACCCAGGGCTTCAAACATTCAAGGCAAGTCTGAGCAACGTCCCATCCGAAAAGTCATTTCTTTGAAAATCTTTTGCTTGCTAGAGAAACAATATTATCCTTTCTACATTTTCTCTGGAATGTATATTTTTTTCTCTAGAATGTATTTCTTTCTCTAGAATGTATACATTCTCTAGAATGTATATTTTCTTCTAATGTGTTTGGAATTTGGCATAGAAAGCTCTATATATTACCCCTTAGAGGTTGTTCTGGGTTGGAGCAATAGCACAGCAGGTAGGGCGTTTGCCTTGCATGTGACAGACCCGGGTTCAATTCCTCCATCCCTCTTGGAGAGCCCGGAAAGCTACTGGGCCTCTCCGCCCTCACAGCAAAGCCTGGCAAGCTACCCATGACATATTTGATATGCCAAAAACAGTAACAACAAGTCTCACGTTGGAGACATTACTGGTACCCGCTCAAGCAAATTGATGAACAATGGAACGACAGCGCTACAGTGCAATGCTATCTTTTCTCTAATCTACTCTTGAAAACTGAAATAGCCCTCTTCATGAACTTTCAGGAGTCAAATGGCACTTTCTATATTCTGCCTAGAACTCTTCTTTAGCAAGATCCACAAAATCATTAATGTGGTGGTTAAGTTTATGTTGACTTGGGTAGACAAAGGGATACCCAGAATAGACATGACTTCTGGGCGTGTCTGTGAGGATGTTTCTGGATAAGATTGGCATTTGAGTTGGTGAACTCAGTAGAGCAGATGTCTCTCCTTAATGTGGGTGGACACCCTCCAATCTACCGAGGGCCTGAATAGACCAAAGTGGAGGAATTTCCTCCTTGCCTCTGACTGTTGGCTGTGAGAGTTGGCTCATCAGTCTTCCCTTCCCTAGAACTCGGACTTGCATTGTCAATTCCTTGGCTTCTAGGCTTTAGAACTCATTTGAATTCAAACTATAGGCTTTTCCTTGTGTTTCCAGTGCACAGAGAGTAAATTCCCAGATTTCTCTGCTGATGCACTTGCTTGCGTCAAATCTTGTGACAGCTTGATTGCCTGTTGGTTCTGCTTCTCTGCAGAACACTAATACAGCTCCCTAACTCTTCTGCCTCACACAATCCACAGTTGCCCAACACTTCAATATATCTTGAATCACTGCCCTTTTGTCAGACTCCAGAAATTAGTCATTAGAAGTGGAGTGATGGGTATGAGAAATGGGACAAAATACAATGGAGGCTGGTAGAAGAGGAAGGAAGTTTCTAGTAGATGCTGGTCGATAGTTAGAAATTTAGGATTGGAGACTAGCACCCTACTCTGTGCTGACTGTGTGGGTTCAGATAGCTTGGTTCTGGATCAGTTGTGTCGGAGGAATTGCACCCGAGATTCCACACTTAGTCTGATTCAAGCAATATATACTGATCTTCAAGCAGATGCTGTAAAGGGATTGGGCTTTGGGAGATTTTGTCCATTTAACGTGAATCATGCTTCTAGCATCCCATCCAAATGTTCAAGAAATGTCAATGCTGGAGTCTAAGGTTAGATGATGGCAGACTATTTCTGCAGATGGCAAGGTCACAGAACTCATCACCTTGTACATTTTCTCCTGTTTGTTTTTCATCAAGCAGTATAGAATCCCTTTCCCTCTCTGTGGGTGCAAACTGGTCATGAGTCTGCTTGGACCACAGAATTAAGTAAGAGAGAACCTGCAGCTTTTCACTATCCCTTGAATTCTTAAGTCACCTTACAAGAAGCCTGGGGATTCTCCTAGAACAATAACTTGAATATGAGGACCTGGCTGGCAGCAGTGTTGATCCCTAGACACTTGAGTGATACTGCAACAGCTTATTTTAGTCCTAGCTGATTTTCCCTGTGACTGAAATCATGTGGTCCGTCCATCCACACAGGCCAAGGGTACTCAGTCAGTACAAAGAACCCTGAGAAATAACACATGTACTGCTTTAATCCATTCGGATCAGGAGTAGTTTGTTATGCAGCATCTTATCACTGATACAAACCCAGCAGGAGGCTTGTGGGTTGGATCTGAGATGCTGAGGATTTTGAGTGCCTTTCAAAGCAGTCATTCGCCTTGCAAGGCCCAAATAACCTGGGAACTCAAAAATCATCTTTAGGAAACCTTTCTATTAGGACCAAGCAGGTGTTTAATAGAGTTCTGCATGTCCCCCTCCTCTTCCTACCCAGCAGCCTGTTCCCTGTGGATTGTTGAGAATGTAGCGAGAACAGCCACAACAGCTGGCAGGAACAGCTGCAAGGTAGACAGGCACATGGAGTGTGATTATTGAGAAGTGTGCAGGGTGCTAGGATCAAGGCTATGCCCGTAGGGGAGGCTGCATGATCTGCCCAATCTTCCAGGGGATTCTCGCCTCACTGGCTGCAGTGGCATGCAGGTAGAGCAGTGCCTTCAACACATCGTGTGCTTTCCTGTCTTCGTACCTTCCTGACGCTTCCCTCTGAAGTATCCACCCTTTTCATTCACCAGAGGAAATCCTACTTCATTTTAAAGACTCATTCACACATCTTCTCTGTGATGCTTTTTAAAACCTGCCTGGGCAGAGGCAATCGATCTTGCTCTGCTCCCACTATGCACTTCTTAGAATACAATTAGCTCTTTGTACAGTCTGACTTGTCTACCAGGTGCTTTAGCTAGGATCATTCTTAACTGAGTAAACCAGAAAGCTCTAAAATCACAGCATTTTCAATATGCTAGAACACCCCTCAGAGACAGGAAGCTACACGCTAGTGAGTTCCAGGGAGGCACCCCCATGGTGTCAGGGCTCAGACTTTTTCTGGTTCTTGTTCCACTGTGAAAAGGTTCTATTGCAAAGGTCACTTCAAGGTCAAAGTGGTTGGTAGAAGTCCAATCTTTATGTCTAAATTCTAACCAGCCAGAGGGAAGAAAGCTTAAAAGGGCATATTCCTTCCTTTTAAGCACATATTAAAAAAAAGCACACAGATCTTCTGTTTATGTGAAGCTTCAGGAGAAGTTGGGAAAGGTGGTCTTTAATTCCAGCTGAAATGGAAATTTATATTTCAGAGAGAGAGAGAGAGAGAGATGATAGCTATAAGGGACAATTAGGGGTTTTTGTCAAGGTGTCATCAATCTTCCTCATTGGAATACCTTCTGAAGACCAGGAAACGTTCCCTGAGCACACAAGTCCATGTTCAGTAGACAATAGCAGTACTCTTGCTTGCTGGTTTGAGGCCATTACCTCTTTTAGGGGTAGTACAAATCACTGTTAATTGTACTAAAAATTTGTCTGTGGGCTCTAAGTCCTGCTTTCAGCCTTATACTCTTTTTCCTCATATTGTTCACTGCTCTCTTTTGCTCCTTTATTCCCAGACCCAGGGGTGCGCTACAGACTTGGGATGCTATGTTGCTTTCATGGGCTAGGAGATGGTAGGGAAGCTACATATTTTAACTGGAAGTCAGGATACCTGAGATCAGTTTGACCCTAGGAAAATGGGATTCTGGCAACCATGTTTACATCAATTACTTCACCTATTTCTGCAGAATAATAGAGATGTGCATTATCCTCCTCCCAGAGGTTTAGGAAATACATTAAGCAGATTCAAGACCATGTGTATTTTATGAGACTGTTGTGCTAAGGAGACAACTAAGATCATGTGTATTTTAGATTTGCATGTACAAATATGAAATACAGTC